CTGCTTCTCCCTTTCCCACTCCCCCCTGCTTGTGCTCCCTCTCTCACTGTGTCTCTCACTGTCAAATAAATAAATAAAATCTTTAAAAAAATAAATAAATAAAATAAAAAGGATTATCCGGGGCATCTGATTTGGGCTCAGATCGTGATCTGGGGATCCTGGGACCCAGCCCCAAGTTGGACTCTCTACTTAGTGGGTTGTTTGCTCCTCCCTCTCTCTCTGCCCCTCTCCCCCGCTTGTGTTCTCTCTCTCTCTCAGATAAATAAATAAAATCCTAAAAAATAATAATAAAATAAAAAACAAAAATAAAAAGGATTATCCTTCCCCAAAATTAATTGAAAAAATTTTAATTTGAACCATGTCAAAATTTCCCACATTTGTATTATTGTATCATATATTCATGTGCATACCATATCAAATAGCCATTTATTTTAAGACAATTCAATTTTCAAACATAGTTTAAACTGATCATTTGATTGAATTAACTAATCAGAGTTAAAGGGGAAAAAAAAAGTTTTAACCAGTCCTAGCCTGAAGTATAGTATTCAGGTAAACTGGGATTTACTTCTCAGTTACTTTTTAAGATAAGGATAGGAAAGTATCAGTGCAGTTCTGAAGAGCAGTATTAACGATTAGTAAGAGAATTATTCAGTGTCTAATTTTGCACTTTCAATTACAAATTTAACATAGCACTTTGATGCTGTCATTTATTTGGCATTGTTCAAAAGATGAAAGTCCCAAGTAAGCAAACACGTATCAGTAATTTAATAATGCCCCCTGTGGACATCAAAGCTAAAAATGAGCAATCAGGGGGCCCGGGTGGCTCAGTTGGTTAAGCGTCTGCCTTCAGCTCAGGTCATGATCTCAGGGTCCTGGGATCAAGCCCCATGTTGGGCTCCCTGCTCAGAGGGGAGCTTGCTTCTTCCTCCCCCTCTGTCCCTTCTTCTCAACTCGTGCTCTCTCTGTCTCTCTCTCTTTCACAAATAAATAAAATCCTTGATAAAATATCATTTTAACTGCATTTAAAATAAATACATATGTTAAGAAAAATTAATACTTCCTATAGTATTTTTATATTTAATTAATTAAATTAATTTCAGGGTATTATTTTCACATGACTTAAACCTAAGCTTTAAGATTTACCTTAGATACAGACATGCCTTTTTTTTTTTAAGATTTTATTTATTTATTTGAGAGAGAGAATGAGAGAGAGAGAGCATGAGAGGGGGGAGGATCAGAGGGAGAAGCAGACTCCCTGCTTAGCAGGGAGCCCGATGCGGAACTCGATCCCGGGACTCCAGGATCATGACCTGAGCCGAAGGCAGTCGCTTAACCAACTGAGCCACCCAGGCACCTCAGATATGCCTTTCTTACAATTGTTTATAAACAGAATTTTAAGTCAAATAAAATAATGAGGAACTTTTCATATTTAACTGTACTTGGGAAACTCATTATTTAAATAAGTTCAATTGGAGTCCTTTTGTAAAATAGTTACTAATATTGTAATAAAAATAATTGTTCCCTAATTTATCTGTTTTGTAAATACCTATATCAGTATATTAGTTTTTCTGTAAATCTGGTTATCTTGGGTCTCAGCCTTTCATAAATATGATTTAAGATCAGTAATTCATTTTTTTATGCACTCTTTCTGATTAAGGCAAATTTTCATTTGCTATTTCCTAAAAGATTTGCTGAAATTATCTGAAAATTTTGGCTGTTGTAGCTATTTCTCCAATAGCCAAAAAATAGGGCCTGTGGCTTTATCTGAATTTCTTTTAGTATTTCTTTTTAAAAACAAATTTTACATGACCCCAGGTCATTTTCCATTTAATTAATATCATAATATTTTGGAATAATATACTTTGTATAGAATGACATATCGTTTTTAGAAACAGAGTAATTTCTGAATATTTTCATGAAAGTCCCTCAAAACTAGTTATAATTGCATAAATGCCCTATTCTCATTTGACTGTTCTTGAAATTTCCATATTTAGAAATTCTCTTAGCATCACTATATGAAATAATAAATTCTACGTAAGTGATATTCAGGCTGTCCTTGAGTTTCTATACATGCTCTAAATATTTTCATATGTCTATATTTGGAAACTTCTCTATTTCTGGACCTGATACTGTTTTGCTTTATTTATTTATTTATTTATTTTTAAAAAGATTATTTATTTATTTATTTGAGAGAGAGAGAGAGAGAGCATAAGAGGGGGGAGGGTCAG